AACCTCCGTGGGGAGGTGGGACAGGGCGGGTCTCGAAGGCCTCGGGAAGCCGGTTTGGGGGCTGGAGGGGAAGAGAGGGGGCTGCGGAGCGGCTCTGTGCCCCGAGGGGCCCGGCAAGGCTGCATGCAGCCCCGCGCTTCAACGGGCTCCAGCCTGTGTCCTGCTTCTCGCTGGCAGCTTGAACTGCGTGGAATGGAGCCTCCTGCCACCAGTGACCGAGGAGATGGTGGTGCAGGCTGAGCAGCTGAAGGGGCGTTTCCAGGGGGATCCTTCTTTTGAGTATGAGTACACTGAGATAAATGCAGAAGATGATGAAAGATTCTTTGAAGATGGTCAGGAGGTAAATACAGCAAAATGCTTTCAGACACTCTTTGCTCTGGTTGTACCCCTCACACTGGAGAGGTGGTGCCTCTTCCACCTCGTTTGCAATAAGCAGCCTGAGTCTGTGCTCAGGCCCAATATAAACAACTTCCTCTTCGCTGCCGTTGTGCAGCAACGGCTACTTGGTGAAACCCTTACTTCAGTTACTCCTGGAGTTAGACACAGCCCAGAAATACTCTTTCTCCTTTTATTATGCACAACTGGTACAGACCCTCACTGTGGTGTCTAGAGCTTTACATAGGAACTGCAGGTACCAGGCTTTATAATTGAATAAGTAGCCTAATTGGGAGGGAGGAAAGGATGGATGAGGGAAGGGGCAGTTAATTCTCTGGTGACTCTAGACTGTCTGCTCCTGCTTCTCTTATGAGAGCAACAGTCCAGTTTGTGGTTCTCCCCTTAGTGCCCTCAGGCTCCAAGCTGATGAGTCTGTTGTGGTTTCTGTTGTCACCTCAAGTTTATTTTCCAAAATGACAAGGAAAGCCCTGCTTTAAAAGTTGCCTGTTTTTCTTTAAAGCCCGTGATCAAGGAGGAGGCCCGACTGGTAGCCACAATAGAACAGATAGACAGAGCAGTTGGTATCGTCCCCCGGGGGGCACTTGTGAAGACTCCTCTTGGGTTTGTGCATGAAAACAGAAGCTTTGAAGGTAAATTCTCATTGCCTTTATCAGGATCAACTGTACTGTGATCAAAGAGGCTGTAAATTAAGACAGCTTTCTCTAGCTGATGTTTTCATTTTGGGTCTAGTTTTTCCTTGGGTAAGATGAACAGGGAGGAGAGAATCCAATGCCACTAATGTTCAGGTGGGTGATTCAACTCTGGAAGGTGGGAGGAGAGTCAGTAATGGCTCTGAGTCATTAGACCTGTTGTTTCATTTGGCTGTGTATAGTTTGTCAGTGTTTAGCAATGATAGCTGCACTGAATTCTCCACCTAGAGGTAGGATGTAACCAAATGGGCACAGAGAGTTGGTCTGGTCTCAGTGCCCGTTGCTTATCTGGGGCTGCACTTAGCATGGTCTGCAATGCACAGCATCAAGGAGGGCTGCCACTCGTTTCTGGCAAGGCTTTGGTCTTCTGTGGAGTCCCCTGGATTGTGGTTCTGCCCTATGCTGTGGGTGTTAGAGAAACAGTGTGATATTCAATGGCATAATGTATGTTAGCCTGGTTTACTGTATTAATGGTCACCAATGGCTGCTTGCAGGTCTTTCTTGGATGGAGGCAAAAAAGTTAAGTTCTTATTTCCATTTTACTGAACCTGTGATCCTGAAGAATAAAACTCTCCTGGAAAAGGCTGACCTGGACCCTTCCATTGACTTTCTAGACTCTCTGGAGCATGATATTCCACAAGGTAAAGGCAGCAGAATCAACAGATGCAGTGAAAGGGAAGGCAAGGTGGCAAGGTGTGGGTTACGGTAGAGCTGGTGTGCTTGGGAGAAGCTCCTGCAGACCTGTAAAGGAACTTTATCCTTTCCTAAATATTGTATTTAATTCCTGTTTTAAGTGATTCTGAACACTTACAGTGGTAAGATGTAAGTGTACCAGGGCTCTCATGTTCTTGCAGGTGTGATCACACTGGCAGCTACCCCTTCTGCCTGAGTGCCATATTCCCTCCTGACTTCTGCAAAGCCTGTGACAGCTGGTGTCCCTATGGGGAGAGATAACTCCACCAGTGAGAGGGAATTTATGTGGTTTGAAGTATTTCACACCTCTTGTCCCACCCAGTATCACTCTTCTTTATCTAAATGGGCTCTCATTAACACTAAGCTGATATCTCTGAGAGGCTGAATTCAAATGTTCCTTTGATAAACCCTGTTAGAAATGCTGTAGTGTGGAATAATCTGTGCTCCAGTGGATGATGCGCTGGGGAAGGAGAAAGGAGGATGTGTGTATTGGATTTTATCTTCTGTTCACTACTGTTCTGCTGGACAACTGTTAAATATATTTTAGGCCCCTTCCAGGCATTCCTCTGGCAGAATATTTCTCTAAAGAGATGTGAATGACTTGTTATTTGTTTCTAACAGCTTTTTTTTTTTTTTTAAGTGCTAATTTGCTGCATTTTTTTTATTGGGCCAAGTGTTTTTCACATCCTACTGTCTAGAAAGATTCTTGGGACACAATCAGAACTTAGGTTTGCTATTTTATTCCTATCCTGGAGTAGCAGGATAGGATACTAGGTGACCTGTGCCAGATGGAATTGGCTGGAAGGACAGTCACACTCATGAATTGCCAGTGCTGTAAATAGCTTTTCAGACTTTGTCACATATATCTAGCTATCTATCCCTCTCCAGTCTTTCCTTTGGCAACAAAAAGAACTGAGAATGAACCTAGTGAGCTCCTGCCTGAATTCTGAGTGTTTTGATTGTTTAGAGGATAAACAGTGCTAAAATCTAACCCATTGTTCAACTTACTGGGAGTGTCCTTGCTGCAGTAATTTTCCAGAGGTGTAATCTGGAGAGACTGCACGTTTTTATGTACACTGGCTCATTGAGTTGGACCTTTTCGTTCAAAAAGAAGTATTGCAAGGGGGGTCATGTCCTAGATACTGCCTGAGAAAATTTTAGCTGCAGTTTTGTATAGTAGTTCAAGAGTTATTACTGTTTGCATTCCCTAGGGAGACTTTTTAACCTGAGGCCTGAAACCACAGAGCCACTGCAGCAGGAGATGAATCTGCCATGCTTTTTATGCTTCCATTAGAAAACAGGCACCAAAGGCTAAGAGCCTGAAGGCGAATTTGTGTGACAGAGCCAGCCACCTTCAGCTGTGATGGAGAGTGGCACCTTTGAAAAACTACAGATATCATTCTGCAGTGTTTTGCACCTAGTTCAAGGGACCAGGCAATTGGCAGGTCATGCTGTGTGTTAGACATGAAGATGGTGGTCTAGCTGAAGTCTTTAAATCAAATTTGATTTGTAGCTGTATCTTAGCCAATGGGGCTCAGCTGTGCCACTGTCCTCATTGCCTTCCTGTGGCAACCTGAGGTCTGTGTAAGTGTGAACCTTTGCCCCCTTCCCAGGGGGTTGTTGCTGTCAGGGCAGATCTCGGTCTCCTCAAAAAAACTTCCCTCTCAAAGACTGCCTGAGCTCAAGTGCAGCTGAGTGCTTCTTAATGGAAGAGAATATTCATCATGGTGCCTGTGCAGCTCTGGCTGCATTGTTCTGCTCTTTTTTGGGCTGAACCTGGGGATTGATGGAATGAGCTTGTCAGGCAAAGCAAGTGATACAGGAACTGGTTATGGGATCAGGAAGGCTTGTAGCCTGTCTAATGGCACTCTATCACACACAGATAGGAGCTTTGACATTAAAGAAAAATCAACCCACTCCACTTTAACAACCATTCAGGTTGCCTGAAGTGCTGGTTGCTTGTGAAAATGTGGGAAAAAAACAACAGAGGGCAGACACGGGGTTTCTGCTGATTTTATCAACATAGCTCTGCCAAAGTAACTCACTCCTGGTTGCAAGGCACTCAAACTCTGGTTCTGGGATTGCCTTCCTTGTTGGTCCTGACCCAGAGCAGATAGTGCTTTTTCTGTTTACTGAAGTTTTTCAGAGCTCTGGCAAATCCACTTGTTTTGAACTGAAGCTTTTCTTGCCTTTTCTGGCTAGACCCACTCTTGAACAGTTGTTGTCAGAGCAGGAGTAGGAATTCCCAAATCTCTTGCATCTAGAGTTGTGACTGAAACCAGAATTGCCTCTGTCCTCAATAAATACACAAAAAGGTTGAACGACATCTGAATGATGCTCTCAGCCTGCATTGGCTAGAATTCCCCATGTATGTCAAAAGATCTAAAGAACAGAACTGAGAGATTAAGGGTTGATTTTAACCTGTCTAAAAGTAACAGTTTTGTTGGAAGAGTTTTCTTTATTAATTGGAGAATAAGTATCTGTGATGGCTGTCAAGGGAGTAAATGTCATAAAATGCATCGTGTGTCACTGTAGGAGAGCAGAGGTGTCTTACAGAATGGAAAGTTGGAGGCAGTGAGAACATTTTATATGACAGCTGAGAGGTGGGAAGAAAGGAAGTTAAAACCGGGTTGAATAAACAATGGTAAAAGCAGAAGAGTTTAGTGCAAGATTGGAAAACCTGGAGTTCTGTAACAAAACTGTCTGCCACCCTTATCTTTACCAGTGATATCTGTGGTGATTGCAGGTTCCAGGTTCTGTGTGTGTGTCTAGCTATTGGGTTATCTGTGCACTTTAAGAGTTCAGAATATGTTGCTGCTTCTCCCCTAATCATACCGTGGGTCTGTTTTTTATTGGTGTCAGCTCCCAGAGACAAGTGACTGTATGACTTAGCTTTATTAAAAAAAAAATAAATTAAAAAATAATTGTGGACAAAAATGGGGGAATGTGAACCTTGTCTCAAAAGCAAAGTCAATCAGTTTATCCCCTTTAAAATCTCCATTTCTCTGAGCCAAACTCATGAATTTGAGTGGCCTGACTCATGATTTTTGAACGTGGAGGGGTTGCGATAGTGATCTTCTGTCACCACAGTATCAGATCATGTAATGCTTCTTTCTGATCCAAATGGCCAGCTGGCCAGAACGTTGCATGCTGGGATCTGTAGGTTTTGCTGGCCATATGTCTGCATTAAAGATAAGCTTGTTTGCTCTAGTCTAAGCAGACAATCTGCTCAACTTTATGCACAATTAGATGTAGCCTTTCAGCTGCTGGCAGATTGCCAGTGTGGTCCTTTCTGCTGTATGGAGTTTGGCACCCTGGGCTATAGCATTTCAGGAACTAGAGCTGTGGCAGTTTTACATGTGCTTGTAGATAATGGAATGGCAAAGAAAGTAACAATAATTCCTAGCATGCCTATGGCATTGTCACTTGATGACCTAATGTGTAGATATGAAATAATAGTCACTTGTCAGGCATTGACACGATGGGGAAAGTGGAAATGGAGAGGGAAGGATGATTTTCCTGTGACCATGGTATCAGATGAGGCTATGTACTTTCTGCAAGGATAAAGGAAGAGGAGGGGAGAAAGCCTAAGGTACTAGTGTAGCACAGAAAGCCTGGGAGAAAGTAAAACAGGGCATGGAGAATTCAGTCCTTTAGTGCTTTCAACCTACACTTCAGAAAGGCAATAACTTGACTCTGAAGGTTTGTTACAGATTACTGAGTAAGATCACTTTGATATGGAGATAAGGGACACCAACAGGGTGCTGTTAAACACTGATGCAGGAAGGCAGGTATGTCGGAGGCAAAGGAAAAGAAAAATGTAGATAGGAAAAAATATGAATGGAAAGAGGATTTATATGGCAAGACTTTATTCAACAAAGTCATGACTCCAAGTCAATAAATAGCTGCTTTTGGCTGAAAGCCTACCACAGTTCACTGGTGGAGTAGGTATAGAAATTAGAATTAAAAAAAAAAATGAAATGCAGAAAGCTGGGAACAATTAATGATTGATATAAATTGAAATTTATAATGAGTAGAAAATGACAAAGGAAATCAGGATAATCTGGAGCAGTCTGTAACAGCTGAAAGGAGGAGCTTTTGCAAGTATATCGCATGGAAAAAAAAAGTAACGGTATGGGAAACTGTCACTAAATGATGATGGTGAAAAGGCCAGTAAGAATGTGTAAGGGCAGAAATGCACAAGAATTTCTTTTTCTGGTTTGTTTTTGGAAAGAATATGGACTCTCATCAAATGAACACAATGAAATACTGTTTCAGACAGTTTTCAGACTGTTTGCTAAGGAAGGGTAGAGTTAGACAGCCCTCACTGTGGGTCAAAAAAATGAAAATAGCAGAGCCAGATAAGTTACTCCTGAAATCTTTGTCTCGGGAGACTTGTGGCATACTTACAAAGCTAACCTTTAATAAATCCCAGCATTGCAGAAATATTCCCCTCAGCTTATCTTGATTAGTAGTTGTGACTCAAAAATCACTGAATGAGTGTATTTTGGGAAGGGGTCAGAAGGGGCTTCTTCAACTGGGACCAGTGCTGATACCGATATTCTTCAACTTCTTTATAAATGATCTAGAAGTAAAGGATTGGTGGAGAGATAATGACAAGGGCAACGTGGCTACAGAGATCTGGTAAACTGGGCTTACTTAAAGTACATTTTGATGTAGCTACCTGGAAAATCCTGTCTCTACGAGCAGAAACTGGAAGCCAGGCTTGTATTCTGGAAGCTGTGGCTATGAAAGGCAATCCAGGCACAACCCAGTGAACATCAGCTCCCAGTCTGATCTGGAGATGTAAAAGGCTAATGGGATCTGTAGATGTATAAAGAAGGGCATAGCAAATAGGGATAGGAGGTGACTTTACTCTTGCATATGCTGTGAGTGTAATCAGAAGTGGATTACTGCACGTTGCAAAACTGGAGAGTTGCAGAAAAGA